CCCAACGAATATGAAGTTTGGGCGCTTCACTTTGAAGATTACGTTCTTGGCCTAGAAGACAACGGATATCTGATATGGGAGGCCATCACTATTGGACCGTTTGTTCATACTTGAAGCAGAAGAGTTATCAAAAATCAAACTGACTACAACAAACTCCCTCTTGATATTAATGATGTTCCTCAAGATGAGAAGGAAAAACTGATTAGCAATGTTAAGGCAATGAAAATCATTCGATTTTCCTTGCAGGCTGACACTTTTCGTCTGGTTAGTTCATGTGACACAGCCAAAGCCATCTGGGATATGCTTAAAGAACTCTACTCAACAGATGCAGATCTTGAGCACTCAACACAAACACTCTTTCTTTTATAGTTTGGTGCATTTACAAAGAAGCCTGAATAGAGTTTGAGTCAAACTTTCAATCATTACATTCGTCTTTTAAGCAGGATGACGAAACATGGCATTGGATGTGAAGTTATTGAAAAAAAAGGTCACATTCATGAATGTGCTCAGATCGGAGTGGAAGGCGGTGGTGTCTACAGTTAAGGCACATGAGCAGTTCAAGAATTATTATTTGGCAAAGCTCGTTGGAATACTGAAGTCACATGAGAATGAGGTGACAAACGAAGCGAAGGTTGTGTCTGGTATGGGATCTCTGGCACTCGTTGCGAAGGACAAGAAAGTAGCAGAAGATGGTTCAGAATCTAATCTTTCTGAATGTGAGCTTACGAATGAAGACTTTTCATTAATGGTGTCAAACCCACCCGAGGCTATTCACAAAGAAGAAGTTTCCTTCCAACAAAAATCAAAACTGGCAGGGAAGCTACAGCTCTGAGAAGGTGAAAGAGGAAAGTGCGAATGGCTCGCAAAAGGAAGATGAAAAGAAGCTGATAGGTGATTATGGCTATGATTGTAACTACTGTCATGGGACAAATCACTTGGCCAAAGAGTGTATGTTGCGAAGATTGAATGAAAAGAAGGAAGGCGAAGATGATGAAACCTACCATCTGCGAAAGCTTGAGGAGATAAAGAAGAAAAATAAATATGATAATTCTATGCATGCTTTGATTATGCAGAAAAAAGAAGCCGATGATGAATTTGGCAGAGTGGAAGTCTGGTCCACGGACTCAGAAGATGAGGAGGTCCGCAGGCCAACTCATGGGAAAAGCTTCGTTGCGAAAGAGGAAGATTCGCACTCTGGAGGAAGATGTTTTGTGGTGATGAGTGATGTGTCATAGATGCGAGGATATGCCACTGATAGTGGACATGGGAGTGATAGTTGCTTTGCTGCAAAACCAGCTTTTGAACAAATCAGCGAATGTGATCAAATGATCAACAAGGTACACTCTATTCTTGAATCACTCAATATTCATGTGTCACGGTACGAAACTGAACTAAATGAATTAAAATTCACATTTTCAAGTATCAGTAACAGTTTAAAACAAACTCTCTTGAAAAATTCTAACCTAACCGATCAAATCAGCAAGGTTTCGTCAAAGAGTGAGGAGAGACGCATTTGGATAGAGAAGATTAAGTCGGATTTATCCAAGTCTAGGGATGAGTTAATTTATTTGCAACGAGACAATTTAATGCTTTTGAAACAATGTAATATTTTTTGTTTGATTGCAAAAAGGCTTTATCATAATATTACTCAATTGCATCTTGATTGTGAGATTGGTCAAAAACTCCATAAGATGATTTTGCCATTCCTTGAATTAAAGGAAGATGAAATTGATGTTGATTGTTATAAGTGCGAACCAATCATTTCATCAGATGAAACTTCAGAAGCTTATACGATTGGACTGGACAAAATTGAGTATTTTATTAAGTCCAAAGATCACAAAAACATGCAAAAACAGCTTTTGGACGAAAATGACAAAAAGCGAATCAAATCTGAAACTATGCAGAAGTTTGACTCGTTGAGTACAAAGTTGAGTTCAGATAACAAACTTAATGTTGATAACACATATGAATTTGACGATGACAGTGATATGAGCAAAATATATGTAGAGGATAAGGTTGATTGCTCAAAGTTTGTTAAAAACGAACCTTGTGTTGCGAAAGTCCAAATTTCTGAAAATTTTGTTGAATTTGCACGTCTTTCTGAAAAAAATCCAAGTGTTCTAAAAGAAATTGCGACTGTTTTTCCAAAAGTCCAAACTGTCCCTAAACAGGTTTTCAAAATCAATGGGGGTAAATAAGGATCAAACAGTCCAATTAACATCCATAGTTGACAAAGAGAATGAAGATGGAAGTGATGAGCGTTTTTGGTCAACTCCGATCGAAAATGCTGACGAAACAGTTGGTCTCTCAGAAAGGACCTCATGGAGAGTAAAAGGAAGATACGTGACAGAACCTTTAAACAAGGTCAATTCTAGCTACGAGAAAGGAAGTCCCAGTGGAACTCAGAATTTTCCTAGCGACACATCTTATGTGCAAAACGAAACTCCAGCAAGAAAGCCAAGAGCGAAAGCTAACGTTCACAAATCTTCAGAACAGTTCGCAGCGCAGAAACGTCAAAGGAACGCCAAATACAACAAAAATCTTAGGGAAAGAAAACAGTTCTGGCAATCCAGAAATCCCAACTTTGTTCACATTGAGAAACCTCTCAATCAAAATGCAAAAGTAGTACCAAAAGCGAATCCAAAGAGCTTTTCGCAAAATCAGTTTCGCAGTCCACAGAATTCTAAACAAAAGGTTTTTCAAAAACCTATTCTTTCAAAGCCAAAAAGCCCTGTGGAGAACCCAAAACCTCACTACTCACAAACCAAAAACGCTTCGCGTCCACACAAGACATCGAAAGATGTTAAAGGAAAAGGAAAGCAGGTTTCAGATCATCATGCTCCAGTCAAGAAGCCCGAAACTAACACAAAGAAAAGTGAAAAAGAGCTTGTCAAAAGACAAAACAAAAATCAAAATCCATCATCTTCAAAAGATACTAACCTAAAAGATAAAAGGATCAAGGTTTTTAAAATCACAAAGAAAGATAACACCACCTTAATAAAACGAATCTATATGGTTGGTCTTTCAATTACTTTCCCTCTCTCTGTAAAAGGCTCACGTGGACCCAAACAACTTTGGGCTCCTAAATCTGCTTAATTTTTGCAGGTAATTCGTGACGGACAGTTTGACACTGAATGGTATATCGACAATGGTTGTTCGCGTCACATGACAGGTAGGAAGGAGGAATTGTGAGAGTATAGGGAACTGAAGAACGGTGGAAGAGTGAAGTTTGGGAATAATTCTCTTGGATAAATAAAAGGTTATGGGATGATAACAAATGGCGAATTCTCAATTCGTAAAGTTGCTTATGTCGAGGGTCTGCAACACAACCTTATAAGTGTTTCACAGTTGGTCGTTGGTACAAGATTAAAAGTCTCATTTGACGACGAAGATTCTGAGATCATAGAAAAGAAAACCAAAACAATATTTCTAAAGTCTGAACGCAAAGGCGAGATGTATTCGTTGAACTTAAATCTGATACAAGGGAATCCAACCATTTTCCTTCTAACGAAATCTCCTGCAGACGATAGTTGGCTATGACACAGAAGACTTTCGCATCTTAACTTCAAAGATATCAACAAGCATGTCATTGGTGATCATGTGCAAGGGCTTCCTCTCCTAAAGTACGACAAGGATCATCTTTGTGCTGCATGCGAAATGGGAAAGCAAAGCAGGAAAAGCCATCCAACAATAGTAAATATGAAAGTCATTGAGCCATTCTAACTTTTGCACATCGATCTTTGTGGTCCGTCTCAGCGTTATCAATAGCGGCCATGGCGCTCGCTATGGCGCTTGGCGAGGCGAGGCGTTCATGTGTCACTATGGGGTCCATAGCGACTGCATAGTGTCCATAGCAATCTGTGTCTTTTTTTAAATATGGTATAAATAGGCCTGTATTAGGGTTTTTTGTTGACTAAGTCAAAATAGCATCCGATACTCCAAGTCTCCAACGTTCGCTTCTCAGTCGCTTCTCTCGACCTGTCGACCTTCAATCGTGCCTCTTCAGATCGCCAGTTGCTCTGTGATTTCTCTAGTTCAGTCGATACTCCAAGTCTCCAACAACTAACCTGCACCGGTCCTTCTCTCCATCAGCTTCAAAGGTGTGTATTTTTCCATCAGCTTTAAGCCTTCAAGCTTAATCAACTACACCAATAACAGTATATATATATATATATATATATATATATATATATATATATATATATATATATATATATATATATTATCCTCTTAATACGATGTATGGGTGTAGTTAATTGTTTAGTTATGGGTTTAGTATTAGTTTAGTATAGGTATTAGTTTAATGTTGTATATGATACCCTGTTTTGTTAATGAAAGCTGTATTGTTAATGAAAGCTGCAATGCAAGAAGTTTCTTTGAAATATGCATGATGTAATGTTGTGATTGTGTCTCAACTTACCTAGTTATGCATTTATTCACTTGTTTATTAACTGATTAACTGATTAACTTACTCAGTTATGCATCTATTAACTGATTAACTAAATCAGTTATGCATTTATTAACTGATTAACCGATATGTATCTAATTTTCATATACTTGTCATTAATATCACTCAAGTGTGTAACTTTATCTTTGATATTTTTTTGAAATAGATATGGCTAGTAATGATCCGGGAAGGCAATACGGGACAGCAGTTGAAGGAAAGGGTAATCAGTGGGTGATATGTACTTTTTGTAATAAAACAACCAAGGGTGGGATTACAAGACACAAGCATCACCTTGTTGGTGATTCCGCCCAAGTACTAAAATGTCCCAGAGTTCCAATAGAAGTACAAAAAGTTTTTAAAGATGCTTTTGATAAAAAGAAACAAGATAAAGAAGCAACGAACAAAATACCCCACTTTGATGATGATGTTGTAGATATAGATGAAGATGAAGAAGCTACAACTAATAGTGAGTTTTTCCAATCGAAAGGCAAGAGGCCTATTTTCGACGAGTGGCTCAACCACTAAAAGGTCCGTGAAAGGGCCTTTGGATGTAATGTGGCCGCCATGTGATAAAACGGGGAAGAAAAAGGGGTATTTCGTTGGAACCTCCGAACATAAAAAAGTCCACAAAAAGTTTAGGCTTAATGCAGTTCAAAAGATATGTCGTTGGATGTATGATGCGGATATTGCATTCAATGTTGTGAAGTATGATAGTTTTGGGCCCGCACTTGAAGCGGTTGCTCTACATGGTTGCGGTATGAAACCTCCTAGCTAGCATGAGGTACGTGTTCCCATGTTGAAGCTAGAGATGGAGCACAAAAAAACACTTTTGACATTACATGAGACGGAGAAGAAGTCATTCGGATGTTCTTTGATGGTTGATGGTTGGAGGGACCGAAAAGGAAGATCACTTATTAACTTCCTAGTAAATACTCCACATGGAAATATGTTTATAGAATCAGTAGATGCTTCTGCTTGTTCTCATATAGGTATTTTTTGCAGTTTTTTTTTCCTTTTTTTATGCAATTTTTTTTCCTTTTTTATACAGTTTTTTTTTTCTTTTTTTCTGCTTTATATATTGTTTTTTTGCTGTTTTTAATACAGTTTTTTATTTAATGCTGTCTTTTTCCTGTTTTTAATGTTTTTTTTTCCTGTTTTTTGCTGTTTCTAATAGGTGAATATTTGTTCAAATTGTTTGACCACTTCATAAAGGATAGTGCTAGCTTAGCCGGTCGATTTGTAGAAGAAAAATATCCACATATTTATTGGACTCCGTGTGCGGCGCATTGCATCGATTTGATGCTTGAGGACATATTTAAATTGCCTCATCTAAAAAAGACACTTGATAGAGCAATTGCGGTCAATAGTTACATCTACAATCGTACCTTGCTCTTGAATATGATGAGAGATTTCACGGGCCAAAGAGATATGGTTAGACCCGCAAATACCCGGTTTGCAACCGCCTTCATAACTTTGAATTGCTTTAGAAACCATAAGAAAAATTTGAAGAAGATGTTCGCATCTGAAGCATGGAACAAAAGCAAGTTCCCGGGCGAGGCGGGAGGAGGAGGAAGTCAAACGGTCAAAACTATATTTTCTCCTAATTTTTGGACCAATATAGATATTGCGGTCAAAGTTGGTGAGCCTTTATTAACGGTGCTTCGATTGGTAGATAGTGAAAAAAGCCTCCTATGGGGTACATCTATGAAGCCATGGCTAGAGCAAGGGAAAGAATTGCCTCGTCTTTCAACAACAAAGAAGACAAGTGTAAACAAAATTTTGAAATAATCGATAAGAGATGGAATTGTCAAGTACACCAAGATTTGCACGCGGCTGGAAACTATTTGAATCCGGGATTATATTACAACAACCCGAGCGTGGAAGATGATAGTGAGGTGATTACGGGATTGATGGCATGCATACATAAGTTGTCATTGTCGAAAGAGGATGAGTTGAAGATTCACACCGAGTTACCTATATATAGAGGTGCACAAGGGATTTTTGGGATTCCGATGGCTAAAAGAATGAGATCAATGCTTTCACCGGCGGAGTGGTGGATGCAAGATGGATCGTCCGCACCTACACTTAAGAAGTTTGCTATTAAGGTGTTAAGTCTTACATGTAGCTCATCGGGGTGTGAACGTAATTGGAGAGTATTTGAACAAGTAAGTAGCTCATTATGTTTAAAATAATTAGATATATACAAATATGTTATAATAAACAATATTTACTAATGTTTATTTTTTATTTTTATAGCTCCATTCCAAAAAAGAAACCGACTTGAATGACAAAAACTAAATGATTTAGTTTACATAAAATACAATCGGGCTTTAAGAAGGAGGTATGATATGCGAGATACGATTGACCCGATCATTTTGGATGACTTGAATGTTCAAGATCTGAATGATTGGTTGGAGGGGGAAGAAGATGCTCTTGTATTTGAGGGTGATAACTTGACATGGGATGTAGTTACGGAGGCTATGGGGGTGGATGAGGATCCTTATGCTACAAGAAGAACGAGTAGGAGGAAAGAGGGTGCCGAGTCGAGCTCGCGATCTAGAGGACCACAATTGATAGACGAAGATGAAGAGGAAAATGATGTTGGGGCTTATAAAGAGGTTGTAGAAGAAGAAGTGAATGATGAGCCCATATATGAGGAGTTGGACGATTTGTGAATCGTATTTTAAAGTCTAAGATTAATACTTGTTCTTTTTTTTGTAATATGCATGTTTTAGAACTTAGTTGAACTAATAGTCTTTGGGGTTTTTAGCTTATTTATTAGTTATAATTGCTTATTAGGTGAAGGTAAAAGTAATATTAATTTTTAATAGGTATTTTATAAAAATGAAATAGTCGTCGCTATTTCATCGCTATCGCTATATAGCATGGCGATAGGTTGTCGCTATCGCCATCGATAACACTAGTCCGTCTGCGATCGAAAGTATTGGTGGTAATAAGTATATTCTCGTTATTGTAGATGATTTTTCTCGTTTCACTTGGGTTTATTTTCTTAAACAGAAATCTGAAGCCACTCCCAAACTCAAAGACTTCGTAAAGCAGATTGAATTACAACTGCGAAAGCTGGTTCGCAATATTCGCAGCGACAATGGATTGAAATTCAAAAACTAGGAGTTTGAAGAATTTCTGACTGCGAAAGGAGTTTCGCATAACTTTTCGGCTCCGCACACTCCACAACAGAACGGTGTCGTTGAAAGGCGAAACTGATCATTGTGTGAGGCTGCATGAACCATGCTCTCATTTGCGAATCTGCCACTGTATTTATGGGCTGATGCGATTGGGACAACGTGTTTCACCCAAAACCGTACAATTCTCAATAAACGATTTTCTGTCACTCCCTATGAATTCATAAATAAACGAAAACCTAACATAAAGTTTTTACATGTTTTTGGTTCCAGGTGCTTCATCTTTAATTCTAAAGAACAGAGGAACAAATTCGATGTGAAAGCTGACGAAGGTATCTTCGTGGGATATTCGTTGACCTCTAAAGCATATAGGGTTCTTAACAAACGATCAAAACAAATAAAAGAAACCTATTATGTGACATTCAACTACAACTACTTAAAGAGGACTCAAGCGAATGACAGTCAATCAAAAGAGATCTTTTCTAAACCAAGCCCATCTACGATTCCACTAGCCAATATCTACGAAGAATTCATGCTTCTATTCGATGAGCCAGAGAAGGCTATCTATTCCGAATCCAAAGCGGCTGATAACAAGGTCGATGAATTGAAGAAGATAATTGACGACGCAGCGAATGCTATGAACAAAGAGCAACCAAGTGTGAATGCCCCAAATGGAACGAACTCTACATTTCAGGGGGAGAATTTTGAATCAACCTCCAGTGCAACCTTTCAGGGGGAGCACTCAACTCTGCAACATACCCAAGAATGTCCACTTCAGGGGGAGAATCTGACAACTGAAGAAGAAACATTCACATCATTCGAGGGGGAGAAAGATAATACGAATAATGATTCGGATGTACAACTTGATGATTCATATATACAGTCAGAATTTGAGGACGTAAATGTTGAATTGGATCCATTGTGTGATCCTAATTATCCTCCTCTGACTAAATGGACCAAAGATCATCCAAAAATGCAGGTTATAGGTGAATCGTCTTCAGGAGTTCTAACAAGAGCACAACAAAAGGCGAAACGAACTGCTTTACTCTCCAAAGTAGAATGTTGCATGTTCAATTCGTTCATCTCCAAAGTCGAACCCAAAAATGTTCAGATTGATCTGGATCATTCGGATTGGGTCCAAGCAATGCAGGATGAGTTCAATGAATTTGAACGAATCAAAGTCTGGAGACTGATTCCTACTCCAAAGGATGCATCTGTTGTTGGGTTAAAGTGGGTGTTTCGCAATAAGCTTGATAAAGAAGGAAACGTAATACGAAACAAAGCGCGACTGGTTGTAAAGGGGTATTGTCAAGAAGAAGGAATTGATTACGAAGAGACTTTCGCACCTGTTGCTAGGCTAGAATCAGTTCGCATTTTCTGGCTTACGCAACACATAAGAATTTTGAGGTTTATCAAATGGACGTCAAATGTGACTTTTTGAATGGGGAGCAAGAGGAGACTGTTTATGTGGAGCAACCACCAGTGTTTATAAATGAGAAGTATCCCAACCATTGCTATAATCTGGACAAAGCAGTCTATGGTCTGAAACAAGCTCCAAGAGCATGGTACGAAACTTTAACTCGTTTCTTGAAAATGTCTAAATTTAAACAAGGTTCGGTTGACCCAACCTTCTTTCGCAAGAAAAAGGGTGACAACTTAATGATTGTCCAAATATACGTTGATTACATTATCTTCGGCTCAACTAATCCCAGCTTAAACAGCTGAATTCTGAAAGCTAATGGAAACGAAATTTGAGATGAGCTCAATGGGTCCAATTAACTTGTTCCTTGGATTAAATATAAGACAGAGCCAGGAAGGTATATTTATCAATCAGTAGGCATACACGAAGACCCTGCTCGCTAAGTTTGGAATAGTGGGAGACTCAAAAACGAAGGTTCCAATGGTATTCGGAACGAAACTAACACCATCTCTGAAAAAACCAGCTGCCGATATGACACTTTATCGTCAGATGATAGGTTCATTGATGTATTTAACAGCTAGTCGGCCAGACATTATATTTTCCGTTTGTTATTGTGCCAGGTTCCAAGCGAATCCTCACGAACCTCACATGGTGGCCGTCAAAAATATTTTCAGGTACCTAAAACGAACCTCATCGCTGGGCATATGGTATCCATCAAACTCAGTTTTCTTCGTACAAGCGTTTTCGGATGCTGATCTTGGAGGATGTGGTCTGGATAGAAAAAGTACAACGGGAGGATGCCAATTCTTGGATGGCAAACTCGTAAGTTGGCAGTCAAAAAAGCAAACTTGTGTATCCCTGTCAACTGCTGAAGCAGAGTATATAGTTGCAACCTCGTGCACTTCACAAGTCATTTGGATTCAAAGCCAACTTCATGACTATGGTCTGAATATGAAACGAATCCCCTTATACTGTGACTCCGAAAGTGTCATTCGCATCTGTCACAATCCAGTACAACACTCAAAAACGAAACACATCGCATTGTGGTATCACTTTATCAGGATCATGTGAATGATGGTAATGTTGAAATACACTTCGTTAGATCTGCTGATCAGTTAGCTGACATATCCACGAAAGCCTTACCTGAACCTACCTTCAATCGAATACTTCAAGGCTTGGGAATGATAGAAGCAGAATCTGTTGCAAAACCACTTTCGCTTTCATAATGTTACTTTCATTTTTAGTTGTACTTTCGCTCTCTCGGTTTAAAGCAAGTCATGCGAATTGGTGCGAACGCTCACAATAATTCGCAGTCATCTTTTGTCATGCGAATTGGTGCAAACACTCGCAGTAATTCGCATCCCCTGTTTTTCCTACATCTTCCTGCGAATGCTCTACATTTCTCATGGTCAACTGTTCGCTCGTGGCTTAGAGATTTTTATATCCTTTTGTATATTATGTATATTTTTATTTTTATTTTCTCTCTATTTTTTTATTTTTTATTTTATTTTATCATTTTTTTAAGAAAATCAAAATACAAAAACATTTTCTTTACTTTTAATTTTCTACTCTCTGTCATTTTACTTATTTAAATATTTTCAAAATACAAAAACCTTTTATTTTTATTTTTTTCTTCTTGTTTAGAAAAACTCAAAATTCAAAATATTTTTGTTCAAGATTTTTTTTGGTGCAGATTTGAAGGCAAACTCTTTACCTTTAAACCCGAATGATGAGGCAAGTATCTATTTCTTTATCTAAGTACTAGCTAAGTGTCCCTAGAAGCATGTTGTTGCATGTTGTCTAAAGCCTTAACGACTCTATGTTGAAGCCTTAATGAATCAATAATACCAATCGTTTCTTCCCAATTAGGCTACGAATTCACATAAGTCATGAGCTACCTTACTCTTCTCACAATGAGTAAAGAGTTGTCTACTTGGTCACTTTCGCATAACAGAGGTACATTCGTTTCTTTGGAACCACCTCCTACTTTTCTCCATCACTTTCGCTTTCATGACTGTAACCCTTGAGACTCTCCGAAATTACCACTGAGGTTTATGGATACACAACATCTGTGTTAATGATCTTAGTTTTTACACCACAAACTGAGTAAAACCCAAAATTCAACACACTTTTATGGATTGACGGTGAACAATTACATGTTCTAGATATTTCACTATGGAATTAACGAAACTCCACTTTCGTGGTTTGTACCAAGAAATCTCTTTTTCTTTTGCGAGATCTTAATGAAATGTTCTAGACCTAGGACATTTCTACCCAATAGATCCAGTTTTTATTTGTTTGAGATTTCTATCATTATCCAAGTCACTAACCCACTTTCAAAGCTACTCGTTCAACTGACTACACTGGTCACACGAGTACTTCATCCGAATGTTCGTACTTATATCAAGTTTCGGAATTTGGTTGAAGAAATAGCCACCCTAAAAGCCTAAAGAAAAGATGTCTTTCACTGTTTCTCAATAAACAAGTGATCATAATTTAACGGGGAGCCACACAAACACTTCTTAGTCTCTCTTGACTTTGAAGGAAGAGATCTTTGCCCGGGATCCACAGTTTTGTGTCTTAAAATAGACATCACTGAAATCCCACACATTTACTTTGATTTATTTCTTTATCTTTGGCACACTCTAGCACGAAGATCCTTGTGATTTTCCAAGAGTCTGGTTCGTGGTACTTACTCTATTTTCAGTTTCACAGTTCAACTAAGTTTGCCTAAAAGCGAAAGTTTGTTTTCGGTGCGAAAGGTGATATACGCTCAAAAGCAAAAGGGGAGAAACTAAAGCGACACTTTTGTGGATAAGAATTCAAATGGGCGCATGAAAATTTGAACCGATGCTTCTTTTCCGCCACCTGACACGCGTTTCTCATGTCACAGCTATCAAATCACTCTTTTGTAGGAGACCTTTCAGTAATCGATACAATCTCTCTCAGGATTTCTCTCACCAAACAAACAGTATAAAGGGTTTTTGATGCTACCTCTCTCCTTACCACTTAAAAATACTCTCAAAAATTATTGGCGATCAAAATACTCTCAACTGTTCATCATCTTCATCCTCAAGAACTTATCAATGGCGGGATCTTGTGAAACTCCTTC